TTATATAGTTTGGTCTGAATTAAATTGTATAATAGGAACTGTTTATAAGAGAGGAAAAACTGTTATATAGTTTGGTCTGAATTAAATTGTATAATAGGAACTGTTTATAAGAGATAAACCCCTAATTATTAGGAGCTTTCCTCTCATTTGACTATTTCTATTATGTAGTTAGATTTAGTCTACACTACAAAACAAAAAACTAGATTCAAATTATTAGTTTTAAATTTTAGAGATAAAGCAGTGGTTAACTGTTTATGAGCTATGCCAATCAGGCCAATGTCAACTAGTTAACAACTACCAAAGTTATTTATTTGTTGAGAAAAGTCAAAATTAGGACATATTAATACTTTAGATGTTAAGGTTTTCTGAAATTATTTAAGTTCTTTTATTAAATTTTTTATGTATGTAAATTTATTAAGGATATTTTAATTTATTATTTTTTTTATCAACCAAATTAACTTTATTAGAAGAAATGAAGTACAAGGAGTATTCTTGCCCATTTAAATATACTGTACATACGAACCACACCTACATACCAGAACTAGTGGCTTAATCATAAAAATAACTAAACAAAAATTACAAGCTAAAACAACCTCGATTTCAAAACCTGCAACCTAATGCTTTATTTTGCTTGTGAAATTGTTTCAAACAACTTTTGTGCCTTTGAACCGCCAATGCACAGTCCACTGGGTTTGATTGTCGATTAGAAAATGAAAAAACACAACCATACACCTTGTGTTTTATCCAAACAAAGGACTTACTTTGTACTGCATCCAACACTTCTTGTCCCACATTCCTCCCATTTTGAAAAATTAGGCTATTCCTCAAATACCAAATATACCAAGATACCTATAAAAAAATGCAAGAACCCATCTCTCTTCCAACAATCGTACCCAAACCAAACAAAAAGAAGTCTACAATTCTGCCCACAATATTTGGCAACACCCCCTCTATACCCCACCACTTTAACACCTGCATCCACACTAGCCAAGATTCTCTACAAATGCCAAATAAATGATCACTTTCCTCAATTTGCTCCTTACATAAACAACACAGCAACTCCACCCCTTGCGAAACTACCCCCCTTCATTGTAAGTTAACCTTTGTGGCAAGTCTATATAAGCATAATCGCCAGCCAAAAAAACTAACTTTTGAAGGAACAAATTTGCACCAATTAACTTGCACACTTGCTTAGCAAGAATTCTTTCACCAGAATCTAAGAAAGCATAAGTTTTCTTGACATCATAAACTCTGTCCGCACCACGTACCCACTTCCAATTATCTTCTCTACCCTTCCTCACACACACACACTATCCAACAACTCCCACAAAAACCCTTCTTCACTTAACTCTTTACCCATTCTTTGTCGTCGCCAATCCAACCTTCATCTCCAACAATCTCCCTCCCACACCCCCATCTCCTAAAGCTGTCCATCCTTATTCACTGCCAAATCAAATAATCTAGGATACACATCCCTTAATGTTTTATTAGCTACCCATTTATCCCTCCAAAAACCCACACGTTGTCCATCTCCCACCTCCCACCTAAACCCTTTCACCAACTTATCTGTTAATTTTTCAAATCTCCCTCCAATACTCAAAATATCCTTCCATATACAAGACATACCAAAACCCTCCATAGTAGTAATTCCACCTCCCTCTTCCCCCCATAATATTTCTCCCACAACACTTGTTTCCATAATCCCCATGACCCATCTCCGAGTCTATACCACCACTTACCAAGCAAAGTCCAATTTCTTCTACTTAAATCAAAAACCCCCCCCCCCAAGCCCTCCTTCATCTTCATGTAACAAACAAGATCCATTTAAGCCATGCAATTTTTCTTTTCAACTCAGGTCCCCCCCCACAAAAAATCCCTCTAAACAACAATTAATTCATTAAGCACACAATTAGGCAACAAAAACAATGATATATAAAAAACTAGAATAGCAAAAAGTACTGAATTAAGTAGAGTGATGTGACCCTCAAAGGATAAGATGGCATTTTTCCAAGCAGCAAGTTTGGTTCGAACTTTATTAACAACTGGTTCTCACATCCTCCTAGTCCCCAGATTCCCCCCAACAAGCAATCCTAAGTAAATGAAAGGTGCCAACGCAACCCCACATTTCAAAACACTTGCTACCCCTTTTATCCAGTTGTTTAAAACACTGAACCCATAGACATTACTCTTACTGAAATTAATTCGCAATCCCAATATCAATTCAAACCATCTTAAAATAATCTTCATCATATGCAAACTCTAGTTGTTTGCACGGCCCAAAATCGTTGTATCATCAGCAAATTGAAGTAAAGAAAGAACCATTCCCCTTTTACCAATCTCTACCCCATGCAATAGACCCTCAATTTTTACTTGTTTAACGATCCCATGTAATCCTTCACCAATTATCAAGAAAAGAAAAGGAGATAATGGATGTCCTTGTCTCAACCCTTTCCTTACCTCAAACTCCTTTGTTGGACTACCATTTACTAGAACTGATATTGTTGCAGTAAATAGACATTCCATAATCCACCCTCTCCATTTTATCCCAAAACCAAACCTATCCATCATCCAATCCAAAAATGACCAATCCACACAATTATAAGCCTTCTTGAAATTAGCTTTAAAAACAAAAGTTGGTTGTTTTTTCTGTTTTACCTCATCAACAATTTCATTCAAAACAAAAACACTATCTATCCATTGACAACCTCCTAAAAAGGCAAATTGAGACTCACTTATAATCTCTGACAGCACTTGTTTGAGACGAGTAGCCAACACCATAGCCAACAATTTATACAAGCAACCAATTAAACTTATTGGCCTATAATTCTTAAGTTCCCTAGAACACAATTTCTTTGGGATCAAATTAAAAAAGAGGAGTTTAAGCCTTGCACTAACCTTCCATGCTGATAAAATTCCATAAAGAAGTCCACAAAGTCAGCCTTTAGAGTATCCCATGTGAACTTAATAAAATTAAAGTTATACACATCTGCACCCAGAGCTTTAGATCCTTCATAGCTCTTCAAAGCTTCTTCAATTTCTTCCACTGAAAATGGTTTCTCCAGCCACTCTTTACAATCCTCAAAAATCTGTTTAAAACAAATACCCCTTAGCCATGGACGATTCCATGAATCTGCTTGAAATAAATTTCGAAAATATTGAACAATCTCCTTCTTCACTTGTTCTAACTCAACTACCCATCTACCATCACACAAAATGCCAATGATATTATTTCGAGCTTGGTGTCCTTTTACAATTCTATGGAAGTACCTCGTATTAACATCGCCCAATATAATCCAAGTACTTCTAGATTTTTGTTTCCATAATGCTTCTCTCTTCCTCATAATATCCCACATTACTCGAAATCCTTCTCTTCTCTGATTTACCTCCCAATTATCTAATCAAAATTTTTGTGCTTCAAATCCACTTGCTCCACATTTTGGCCATCATTTTTCCCTTGTTTTTTTTTAATTATTTTTAATGTTTTAATTGTTAAAATGTCCTAATTTTCTTCAATCCTTTAATTATTTTTCATAAAAGAGGACAAATAGTTCAATATATAGACAAAAAAAGTAAGAGGGGAAGTTACTCAGTGTTTTTATTTTTTATTTTTACTAACTTATGGTATTTGGAAACTACATTGGACTCTAACTAATTCAAAATTGAGTGGTGTTGGACCCATAAAAAGGCAAGCTCGTTCAGTGTCTATTTTTTCATTCATAAAACTCAAACTTGAGACCTTATTTAAGGAAAATTAAATTCCTTCTACTTGGATCAATAGACCATTGATGAAGCTACGCGGTTTTGAATTCTCAACAAATAAGAAAGAAGACCTTTAGGGCATGTTTGGAAGACTGGACATAACATAGGATAGGATAAAAATTAATCTTAACCTATTGAAACCCATGTTTGGTGTGACCAAAGGATTGCATAAATTGTAACCCTCACTTTGTTCCATCCTAACCTATTGAACTAAAAGTTATCCCAGCTTTCCCATGGGATTAGGTGGGATGATTGATGAGTTTTTATTTTTGTGGAACTAAAAGACACGATCTCTCTTTTGCCCTCTTGTTTGTCCCTCTCATGGCTGTTGATCTCCCAACACCTTGCTCTCCTTTTTTTAACTCGTCACCAGAGTGAATGCTACTCCGACAAGGAAGCTCTATCACATCGATTGTTTGTTGGTAAGTCTCAAACTTATCTTTTCTCTTTCTTTCTCCATTAGTGGTAACTTAAATCCCTCTCTCTCTTTCTCATTTGCAGCTAGTTCAACATATTTGTTCTTTTGGGAATGATCTACTATTCTTGTCTTTAATTCTAGTGAGCCTACACTTATTCGTGTGTAATATGATTCATCGAATGCTTGGTATTCCTATGTTAAAATAATTTATATGTTTAATTGCCTTTTGGAATTAAGTTTGCTCATATGGTTGTGCTCATTGTGGATTGTTTCCCATATTTTTTTTATGCTATTGAAATATCTATTTATTGGGTGTATCTAGATTTCTAAAAGATTGAAAGTAACCTGTGTGTTTTGCTTTAAAAGTTGTTTTTTCTTTATTGTTATAATACATTTTGTCTATTTTAATTCAATCCATTTTCATTGGTTTTATCTAATGTAATCTCCATCTTGCATTTCAAATGTAGCTTTTTAGCATATTTAGATTGAAAGAAAAAAAAAATTAAATTATAATATTTTAAATATTATAATTTAATTAATTAAAAATCTTTCTTCTCCTCTCGCTCGCACTCTCCTTAACCCAACCATATAGATATGTATGAGGTTTTGATCAGTTGACCTGAAGCCGCTTGTCAACTTTATTATAGATGAAACATTATCTCTCTGGAAAAAAAATGGAAAATTAGACGCTATTTTCTTTCACTTGTACCAAAATAACAAAAAATTAAGATTTACTTATATAATTTTTATATCTATCATTTAAGAAAATTATTTTATAAGATGAACTGTATATAATTTATCTTGTAAAATTACTTAAATATCTTTAATTTTGTTTTTATATTATTTTTTTATGAATATTTAAATAATTTTACAAAGTAAACTGTACAGTTTGCCTTGTAAAATAATTTTAAAATATTATTTATATAAAATTTTAATAATTTATTTTTTTATTATAAATTATTGAAATTATTTTTTTTATCATATTTTTGAAATAGAACTATTTTTATCTAAAATTTTTCATTGAGACAAAGTAAATATATTAGTTACGTCTCATGGTTCCAATATCGTGGTGTAGTAGGTTATCACGTCAGTCTAACAAATAGAAGGTCTGTGACTCGATTCCGGGCGACCGTCATTAATATTTTTCTGAATAATTTTAAAAGTTTAACTTTTTTTCTTTAACCAAACATAATAATTTAAATTTTTTAAGTCAAATGGAAACATTGCGCCGACCACCGTTATAGTAGCTAAGTTTGAGAGTCTGATTATAATTGTAGTTGTATTAAATTGTATTATATTGTAGTTGTGATGGAAAGTTATTTAAATATTTAGTTATTTATTTTTTAAAAGTATTATGAATGAAATATGATAAATTTTATTACTTATTAATTAAAATTTTAAAAATATTATATGATTGATAATTATTAAAATAGATAATATTTATTATTTTTTAATAATATAAGTTTTTTAAGTATCTTATGATGGGTTTTTTTTGGGTTTCATGGAGGAATAATTTATAAAGAGAGAATGAATTTTTAATTTTTTATAAAATTTTTAAATAATGAGTGATTAAGTTTAAATAAAATATTATAAATTATAATGTAATTGAATTAAATGAAATTTGATTTTAATAGATGATTTTATAATTGTATTAAATATTAAAAATGTATTTGGAATGGTTGTGAAATATTGTAACTGTAGTGTAATTATAATTGTATTGAATTATATTGTACTGTAATTAGAGTT